TACTTCCCAGGCACGCATTCAAACGAAACTTTGATAGCCGGTAGAGGTCCAGCGAAGGAATACGAAAAGGGAACGATACGGGAACTAGTACATAGATGAGAGTTCACTGTGCTTCACGTAAAATGTCATGCTCTTGGAACGTAGCGGTGTCGCCATAGGAAGGGAAAACCAGCAGGTGGTAAAAGGCAGTAGGTAGAGTTTGACGATTTGGAACAGGTAGCCTTTCCATGAGCGGAGGTGGTGTAATACTCACCAAAGCGCTTTATCACAAGACGGCTCGGAAATAGAATCCCAAAATGATAATCTTCTCATTCCTATAAGTCAGAAACCCCTATTCTTCCGTAGTACAACTTCAAAAACCATACTTCTCTAGGAGGATAAAAACACTGACTGGGAGACTTCTTTGTTGCTTAGCACTGCATGTTAATGATGGCCACAAAACACTCAATCGCCATAAAGATTTCGAGTTGAAGTCGAATGCGAGGGCGCACCCACAGATGAGATTGATAAAATGTAAAAGATTCAAGAACTGCCGTGGGCATCGCACTTGAACAAGTCCAGTGGTAACTGAGAAGGCTGGAAAATAAACACTGCAGGCTTCTCATGACTTGTGGGAATGTGAGCTTTTGAACTGAACTTTAAACTTTGCGATTTCCAGAAAAATGGATTTCATGTTGGTAATGAAACTGCAAGACCGAAGTCGTTCGACGATTTGAAAGACATAAACGGACGCATTTTGCAGGATATTTAGCCATCCGGTTGCAGCCATAAAGCCGTTCTCGACGGACTTTTTTTTCGGCTTGCAAGTGTAAGTGCAACGGTTTCAGGCTCAGCTCTAATGATTGTCTTCCATAAACACTGAGAAGTAAATCCGTCAAAAACAATTGTTTACAGTCAGTTCTTTCCAAAATTTGAACCACCCAGTGCCAATTCCGTTCCACGTTCCTTGAAGCATATTCCATGACCGGAAAGAGACCGTGTAAACGTTCAGGGGATTGTTCAAATCCGTTCTCATCAACCCTCTTTACCTCCAATCAAAAAGTAAATGGTACAATCCGAAAATATAAAGAGTTATGAGGCTCACAATGACTAGACTTATAGCTTTTGCGAAAAGCGATGGCATGGCCGTTGGTAAACTTTGATTAATCAAAGTGGTTCGTTGTTAAAGCTCCAACACAATATGAAAGATATCAAAGGAGCCTGCCCCGTCGATTTCTAGACGTCCTTGTTTCATGAGTAACTCATTTGCGTGCATGTTGAATGCGATCCTGTTAAGAGACACATAGAGGTGACCGTGTAAATGGAACCCATCGCTCGCTCGCTCACATGCCCCTTTATAATAGAAATGCATGCTATCAAAATCTGGGAAATCGCCCTTTTTCGCCCTTCAGTAAGCCGATATGAGGTTGCGCCATTTGACTCGTTTCACGCGCGGTTTTGGGATCACATCCTGATTAGGTACTCGTTTAGGCCCCCCCGGGTATCGTTGATTGTTTGGCATTAGCTATAGTAGAGGGAATCCTGGGATCGTATTAAACCGAAGAGACATTCTGGTCATTGAGCATCTCCTCAAGACGAGAGATTTCAGGCTTCATGGTAGGGAGACCGACCTTGAATTCCTGTAAGAGGACACAAAGGTTTAAGTCAACAAGTTGAACAGATTTTGTTGAATTATCTCTGCTAAGGACAAGCTTTTCGTGACAGGACGACATGGTCTAATATGTCATTTCAATTTTTCGAGTAAGCATTCAGTCAGTGGGAGTACGGCATAGAAAACAATCAAAGGGCACATGGTCTAAAAAGATGAGAAGAGAGTGAACTAAATGCTGACTTGGCAGTGTAACTGCTACCGTAATGGCTTAGCCGCTGTTAGGGAGAATTCCAAGACATAGAGAAATCTAAGATGGGCTTCTTTGGAAAAGTTGGCTAGTCCATTTGTTAAATGAAGTCGGAATGGTTCGTGATGGACTAAGTTCAAAAGCACATCCACACCTACGATGGCAGATTGAGGATACGTGAGCTTGAAAATGATGCTTAAGGTCCCTAACTTGCTATTGAGGCGAGAAAATTCAAAAAATAACCCCAAACCTTTCCCCCTTCGGTTGAGCAGGCTTCATTCAAGGACATAAAGAAGAATACGTGCGCTCTGCAGAGCTCCTGGTTGCAAACATGAAAATAAGTACAATTAAATCGTTCAAATTGCTCTTTATTTGTGCTCCTCCGTCTTTGGAATTTTCGTTTTGCCTTACTGGCATTGAATATGAGCATCCCTTCCACTCCTGACGGTTTTCAGGCGCTTCCATGGCACAATTTTCGTAGTTAAAGGTCAGCCTTGACTACTTGAAGCAGAGATAGTTTCTACTGGCTTCTCACTAAACAGTGTTGCAAAGCAGTGGATCCTTGCATATCCGCCGGCATTTGCAGGTTTTTCAGGTGAATGGAGCACGCTCATGGCTGCAGCTGCCTCCTTTTTCGAACGTTGGATTTTACGGAGACGAAAAAGGTGCTAGATCTATTTTGTGCCCCGTCTTAGATAGCAAGATGCCCTTTACGCCTGAATCTAATCATAAATCTCACCCAGATGCTCCTCGTTTTCTTTCTGCGATACGAAGAGCCATTGGGATTCTGACTTTCCAACACACTTCCATGAAAAAGGTTTGTACTGAATGTTCAGTTTGGATGGAGTTCAAAAGTCCTGAGGACAGCTATGCTATGCACAGTTGTCTTGCAGGATTGAGAGCTCCGGCACACCCCAGATCAGGTTCAACGCTATGCATGTTTGAATGTGAGCATACCTCGAACTGAATGGTGCTAAGATGTGCCGATGTCCCACGCATGTACCCAGGATCAAATCCCAAATGACTAGCGCAGTGAAGCTTCTCATCTCTCTTATATCGGCTAATTGATGCCAGCCCTAACTTAGAGGTTGGGAAAATCGGATTGGTTGGCTATCTGAAGTCACTGTATAAGCCAAACAGTATGTAGGCACCAAATGCCACAACAATCTCAAATGAAGTCCGAGTGCGGAGCTCATTCTAAAGACAGGGTTAATCAATATCATAATTTCCAATTAGTTGCAGATTCTGTAAATGATCCATGCAGCCCATTAAGTTTACCGAGTGATTACAATGTTTCTGTTGTTTTA